CATCTGTCCTCTCCTCCAGGGAGCCCCTCTGCACCCCAGGAATTCCGGAAAGCTGTCTCTGCCCCTTACTTTCTCCCAGACCTGCCTCGACATTGGATATTCCCACCTTTAGAGCTCCCAGGCAGGCTACTGATGCCACTTCCCCATTCTCCCCATCCTCAGCTTGCCTAAATTGCATCCTCCTCCAGGAAGTCCTCCCCTCCCCCCGCTGGCCTCTCTAGCCCTGATATTCCTTCATCTGTCCAGCAGGAACAGACCTAGGCTTTTCTTGGGGAAGAAGGATGCTGATGTGCTCTCTCCCATCTCACTGGCTGCTCCCTTCCAGCCCCTCCTCAGCGTCCCTGGACCCCAAGCTCTGGCTCACATAATTCCTCTAGATCCTCAGGTGCAACGCTAGCGCCTCTCCCGCACCCTGGGAGCACCTCCTGGACAGTTTGTTTGTGTTCTCCTAGGACCTGGCATGGTGCACACTGTAAATGCCCCTGCATGCATGTGACTGAGTAAGAACTGTGGCTCAGGCCAATTTGCTGAGGTTTAACTCTCCCGGGCAAAGAGAGGTGCATTTCGGGTCAGATTATTCCTTGAGCAGGGCTGGAGTTTGGTTCTCCCCAGTGCAATGGTTTTTTAGTTGGTGCCTCTAGGAAAAGACATCAGGACCCACACGTGGAGTCTCGAAGGTGCCTCCTTACTGATGGTGCTGGCCTGGGAAGCAGGCAGGGCTCTCAGAGCCAGGAAGCTGGGTGTCAGTAGGTACAGGCAGGATGGGGAAGTTGCTAGGAAGGTGGAAGCAGCAGCTGTGGCCCAGGTCCTGGAAACTGTTTTTAGTGCTTCTGGGTAGACGCGGTCTCTCTCACTTCTCACCCTCAATGAGAAAACGCAGGTGTAGAAATGCCAGGCCAGGCCAGGCCGGGAATATGTGCAGACCCCAGAAGGCAGGATGGGGACACGGGCTGGCATGTGAGGAGCAGGGTGATTTGAAAAAAAAAAAAAAAAAATCTCCCACTTGGCAACACCAAGGTGAATGATTAGCACACAGGGAAACCATGAGCCAGCAGCAGTTTGCAACAAAGCTGGCAGCAGCTGGAATGTTGATCGGGGAGATCATGTTCCTGAGGGAGAACACCCTCCTGGGCCAGGCTGGCGCTCACTGCAGCTATTTCAGGCTGGGGGGATTAAGGTCGAACCATGACAGTGTGTACACACACGCACGCACACCCCAGACACGCCTTTTCCCTTCTCTCCCACACTGCCCTGCTGCTTTCTCCGGGACCTGCCTTTATACTGGGGGAGCCCTGGGTCTCTCCTTCCTGACAGCCCTTGCTAGCCCCCTCCCTCCTGCAGGGGGACAGTGACAGACACCTGACCTGGGTGACAGGTGGGGACACCTGGCGAGCCCTACTCACCTTCCCAACTGTGCCCCAACCCACTGCAGGGACAGCTGCCCTGCCTGTCCCGGCCCCTCAGACAGCGGCCATTTCCTGCCCACCTCTCTCCCTTCCTGCTTACGCTCCCAGCTTCACCTTCCTCCCCCGCTCTGTGTCCCCTTCTCTGTGTTGCTTTTCTTCCAGTTCTTCAGCTTTCTCTTTCTGCCTCTTGAGCGTGACCTTCGACACTTGTCCTTCTCTTCCCTTGTCTCTTCCTAACTCCATTTTCCTCCTTTGACACCCCCTTGTTCTCTCTCTCCACCTGCCTCACTGCATTACACCATCACTGGCAGCCCTTCATGTACAAGGGCCTGGGGCAGCCAGTGTCGGGTGCGGCTTATAGAACTATGCACCATACTGTTGCTATTCAAAAACGATCAGGAGACTACACGCGTGACTAAACAGAAAGTCACGTGTGACGTTTACCATGGGCAAGGCCAACATGCTCCAGTTGCTAGTGAGAGACAGGGGTCCGCTCTGGACCCTGGCATCAGGGAGGCCTCTAGGGGGACAGCAACTTAATGCTGTCCTGAGGATTCGGCCTTGCAGGGAGGAGGCAGTGTCACCCTAACACATGGCACAGAGACATGGCGCCCTGGAAGGGCCTTGCATGTCAGGTGAAAGGCCCTGAAAACTCTGAGAGGCAGCCAGAGTCTTTGAGCAGGATGGTGATGCTAACAGAGCTTCGGGAAGTCACGTCCAGCAGCAGAAGGTGTAGTAGTGTGCGTGTGTGTGACCGTGCACGTGTGTGTATGCAGACACACACGTGTACACGTATGTGTGCATGGCGTGGGTGTGTGCGCGCGTGGGTGTATTGGCACACATGTGTAAGTGCACAGTGTGTGTGTAGGGTGCAGGTGATGAGCCAGAGGATCCAAGAGGTGGGTTAGGAGGTGCGGGCAGGGGCAGGAGGTGTGTAATGATCTTATGTCCCCCTGCATGCGGCACTCAGGCAACGAAGGCACGCGTTGAGAAATGCCAACTAGGACTACCTTGCCAGGTGTCTTTTCCTCTTTCTGGATGTCTTTATTTTTCCTTAACTGTCTGGGTTCTTCTTTCTAGGGGGGGTTGGAGCCTGTCTGCCACAGCCACCCCCAGCCGGGTTTCCCTGTCAGGTTGAGATCTGCTCCTTACAGTGGAAGGAATCAAAGTTCTTTCCTCTTTTCTCAAAGCTTAGAGGCACCGGATGCTGGGATTCCCCAAGAGGACTGACTTTTGCAGACGGCGTCTCTGAGACCTGGCTCGCGAGCCCACGTTTTCTTCCTCTGCCAGCTCCCGTCTCCAGTGACCCTGCTTGCTGCAGACGAACTTGTCAGTCCCAGCCCCAGCAGCTCGGGAGCTTCCAAGCATCCTTCCAGCAGGCCCTCACGGCCTTGCTACTCCCAGCCTTCCCCGCCCCACCCCCAGAGCCAGACTGGAGGTAAAGTCGAAGGGCCCAGGAGGTGGAATCCAGTGCCTCTCTAAGGACCTGATTATTTCCAAAGACTTGTGCTAATTTTCTGATATGATCCTCACATCTCTGTGAGGCACTAAATCCTCATTACTTTTCCTGACCGATGCATTCTAATTAGATCAACACTTAAAAAAAATTCACAATAGCCACAGGATGGCTTTCCATCTCATTAACTCCTCACTTATTATTTTCATGAAAATTACTGATAAAAATGTGCATCTCCATTTGGTGAGGCCTCACAGCCTCCTCGGCTCCTATCTTGCATCTCTCCCGTCACCGGAGCTGCGCTGCGTCGCCATGGTAACCCACAATAATAGAAACTAATAAATTACAAACGAGATGCTCGTTGAGCAATTATTGTCCTCTTTTATGCAAGTTTCTTGCTAATTTTGATCATAAGGGAAAGTACAATAAGACTCTGAAGGAATGAGTCTATTTCAAGAGAATATTAGCGAGCAGGAGACTGGGCGGCTGTTTTTAGCTCTGTAATAAAGTGATTTGGTGATTTCAAGCAATGGGAAGAGAAAATAAACTTCCTGCCTTGTGTCCCATGCAGCAGTCAGTATTGATTCCCATAAAGATGCTCTCGGGGGCCCGCCCTGGTGGCGCGAGGGGTTGAAGCGCAGCATTATGAAGTGATCCACAGCCACTGCAGCATGAGTTCAGTCCCCGGCCATGGAGGTGACCCACATGGCTTGGCAGACCTCTTCTGACCCTCCCATCGCTCCCCTCAGTAGATCTGCCTATTCTGCTCCTCACTCTGTCTCTGGTGAATCCTCTCACCCCCACACCTCTGGTTGTACCCCAGTTCTGTATGCATAAATAAATAAATCTTTGAAAAAAAAAAAGATGCTACCGGGATGGATTTGATGTGATATTTGCCACATCAAAATGTGCAAGCTTGTCTGGTCATCTGGAGGTCACCTTATTCCTTCCCAACCCTATGGGCCAGGAGAGATAGAGTAAGTGTGTTGGTCCTTAAAACTTAAGGGTAGAGGCCCTCCCTGGTGGCGCCGCGGGTTAAAGCACTGCACTGAGAAGCTAAAGCCGCTTCCGCATGAGTTCGATTCCTGCCTGCCCGGGAGGCGACCACATGGCGCAGCAGACCTCTCCTGACCCGCCCGCTGCTCCCCTCAGCAGTGTACTTCATCGATCTGCCTGTTCTGCTCCCCACTCTGTCTCTGGTGAAGCCTCTCACTGCCCCTGAGCCTCTGGCCTGTACCCCAATTCTGTATGCGCAAATAAATAAATCCTTAAGGAAAAAAAACAAACTTAAGGGTAGAAATATCATCTGATTTTTAAGGCACATTTTCCACACCTCCTGCCAATCATTTTTTAGAGCGTTTCATGCCATTCCTGACTGTCTCATGAAAAAAGGCTGTTATAAACCTCTAGGGGGGCCCTCAAGTGCCCATCCTGGACTCAGGAACTCAGTGGTAGAGGGAGAAAGTAGAAGTTGATGGCTTAGGTAGATGCCAGTGAGTCTGGATAGAAAGACCTTGCCAGGCAGCTTTCTGGTTTGTGGGTGTGGGGAAAATATTCTACCTAGGAGGGGGGCCCAGTCTCACCTAGACCACAGAGCTGCCCTCTCCACCTTTCCCAGTTCTGAGGGTGAACCTCCAAAGGGATGACTTGCGATGACATTGACAGTGGCCCTGAACCTTGGGGAGATAGATGTGTGAGGGTAGGTGAGCAAGAATAGGGTGATTGCGGAGAAGCAGTCCTAGGAAAGCTATGTTCACCTAATAGGTACACAGGACTTGGGGAACCCTCTTTCCCAGGACCACAGAGACCTGAGCAAGCCACAGTCTTCCTGAGGAGACTTCTGGTCTAGGATGTTTAGCTCCATCCCAGCTCTGACCCCACTTCAGCCTCCAGGGCAAGCGTTTTGCCCCTTTAATCTTTCATTCATCTCTTAGGCCAGAAAGCCAGGAATCACCTGGAGGTTGTCTCTCTAAGACCTTGGCATCTTCTAGGGAATGAGGTTGTCCCGGTGTGGTGAACAATGGCAAGAGAGGGCATGCTGCCCAGGATTGGATCAGAGGAGTCTAGGCCTAGGTGTCCAGGGCAGCTGTAGACATTCCTATAATGACTACGGGACAGGACCCAGCGCCATGTGTTACCTGTGAGTGAAGGTTTATGGAGGGCTGGTTTGGGGAGTAGGGTCCCCCGAGGTCATTCCTGAGCAGGTTATCACTGTGCATCTTGGTTTTGAGGCAGGTGATGTAACGGTTACAAAAGTCCTTGCAGAGTTCATTGACTTTCTCCAACTCCAGCAGGTGAATTCTCAGGACCTGGATTGCCTTCACCATCTGGGGAGAGGGAGAAAAGGTGATCACATCCCCTCATGACCTTGACCCCTCAAGGAGAGAGGAGCCTCCTTAGTCTGTGCCTTCTCACTCACACTCACACTCACTGTGCTTATCTGCCAACCCCTCACTTTGCGCTTGCTGTCATGGCAGCCGGGTGTTCTGAGGTCAGCACTGGCCCTGGAGACCGAAGGCCAGGCCTCAAGCCCTGAGCTTGTCACTTATGATCTGTACGACTGGGCATTCGTTCAAGCTCTCTGCACCTTATTGTCTGACAAGTGGAACAAGGATGTTTTCTCTACTCCCTAACTACTGTGCAGGTCTGTGGAGAGACCACACTGGCAAACTCTTATGCTGTAGGGTAAAGCCCTGAACAGCATGGTGGAGATGGAGATCAGGGCTCCTTATAAGAGCTCGGAAAGCTCAGGGCTGTCCATTCTTCCACTCATATTCTCAGGGCCCACGTGGTACAGGTCACCCTGCAGTTTCCGTTGACACAGGCTGACTGACCCAATCATCCTCTGGCGCAGCTGGACACTGGGACACCTCACTGTTGTGGTCTTTTCCACACCCTTTGGGTATGTTGTATGTGTTTCTGTGGTCACTTTAGATGGACATGCCTAACCTTTCCCTGGCAAGAAGCTCTTTCTCAGTCAAAGTTTTCCTCCTTATTGTTCTTAGTAGAGAAAGAAAGTGCTATGTGATGTATGAAAAATGGTGGGTGGAAAAAAAAAAAAACTGCCCTTGATCTAATCGATTTAAAAGATGGGTTGTTTTTATCTTCTCCACATGCCTATGTTTTAACCTTGTTTCAGTCACTTTGTGCAGGAAACACTTTTGTTTCCTGCCTTATCCCTTAGTTTATTAAATGTTTTCTGAGTGGCAGAATGATTTTCTCTATGCGCTAGACTGTTGAGTTTCTTTCTAGAAAGCAGGGATGGTATCTAGTTTGCTCACCAGGTTATTTTCAGCACCAACTAGTATGGATATCGAGTAAATATTTGTTAAATGGGTGAAAGTTATTTAGCAAGTATATTTTTAAGAGTTGCATATTATTCTTTGGGTGTGCCACCCTCAACCAATGCCTTATGATTGGGTGTTTATTACTTCTACTTTTTCCAAATTATAAAAAATGTTATAGGACTGTTCTCCAAGCTTATAGCTTTTATTCATATTTTTGCAATTGATTCCTTTAGGATCAATTTCCAGAAGTGATAGGAAAAAGTTTTGGAGATTCAGCTCTTTTGATAAATATTGTCAAACTGCTTTTCAAGCAGGGTGGATCACATGGTGCTGGAATGACTGGCCACTCACCGCACATGTTACACAAAACGAATGCAGGTGGATCAAAGATTCACACAGAAGATATGAAACTATAATGCTTGGAAACAAATAGGAGAAAATTTCAATGAGCAAGTTCTAGGCAAAGAGGTCTTAGACTTGACGCCAAAAACATGGCTCAGGAAAGGAAGCCTGATGAATTAGACCTCATCAAGATAAAAAATGTCCTCTTTTCCAAAGACCCTGTGAAGAAGAATAAAAGGCAAAGTAGACTGGGAGAAAAATATCTGCAAAGCATCTAACTGATGAAGGGCTCATATCTAGAATATGTAAAGAGCTCTCAAGACTAAACAGTAAAACAGGCCATCTGGTTAGAACATGGGCAAGAGCTGAGCAGCATCAGGCATTTCACTGAAGAGCACGTGTGTGCGGATGGCAAATGAGTGCGTGAAAAGATGTTCAATGTTATTAGCCATCAGGGAAATACAAATTCAAACCACAGTGAGAATTCACCACACACTTCTCAGACTGGTTAAAATAAAAATTAGGGACAATACCAATGGAGAGGAACTGGACAGTGGGTCACTCTGACACTGCTGGGGTCTGCATAATGGTGCTAAACTAAATTTATGCTTCCCAAATGACGCAGCAATTGTCCTCTTGGGCATTTACCCCCGAGAAATAAAAGTAGATGTTTACACAAAAACCTGCATTGGAATGTTCAAAGCAGCACTATTTCTAGTAACCCAAACTGGAAACAACAACAGGTGGATAAAATATTCCACAGGTGAATCAAGAAATGTGGTCTATCCATATCATGGAATAGTCCTCAGCAGCAAAAAAGGAACAAACCCTCAATATACTCAACTAGGGAGGATTTCAAGAAAATTAGGCTGAGGATGAAAAATCAATCTCAGAAGGGTACATACTTTGATGCCATTTATAAACCTTTTTAAATGACAAAATCATAGAGCTCAAAGGTTGCCAAGGGATGGGTGGAGGAACAAGAGAGGGATTGTTCTGTTGACATGCATAGTGTTGACATAAATCTACGATGATAAGACTACACACACACAGGAGAGCATATAAAACTGAGGGGGTCTGAGTAAGGTTGGTGATTGCATCACTGTCAACTTTCTGGTTGTGAAATAGTCATGCAAGAAGGGAGTCAGGACTTCTTTAATTAGCCCTTAGTAATTAGTTCCTGTGAATCTATGGCTATAGCAAAATAAAAAGTGAAAAAAAAGGGCAGGGGGTTGTTGCCTTTTGAGACTTATTTTGGTTGACATAAGCAATACACAGGAGCCCCTGTTTCTTCCTAACTTCCCAGCTTTCGGTTTGCATTTTGAGGCACAGGGAAACAAGGAAGGCTGTCTTTCCCAGAGTTTGACTGCGAGTGGATTTGCATGGCTACAAGCCAGCATTACACCCCTCTGTGGGCTTCATTGTCATTTCAAGTGGGGGGCAACTGCAGAGTCCCTGGGTTGGCATTTGGATCATCTGATGGGCAGAGACTGTACTCAACTAATTAAGGGCTCTTGGAGGACTGAATTAGGCAAAGTGTCACTCAAAGACAGAAAACCATCAATTTTGTGTCTTCATGCAGGGCTCAATCAGAGTCTTGTGCTAAGGGAGTGCTCCCCCACGGGGCTGAGACTGATAGAGACTGCTACCCCAAGCGAAGAGAACAGCGACCTTAGTAGGGATTATGTGCTACTAGATAAATATTTGGCCTTGCCTAACTTTTCTACTTGTTTTGGCCATAGAAATCTTGGACAAAAGATTTGTGTCTCTCTCAGTAAATGACACAATACCGGGTGTTTAATAACTCCTGATAATTGATAATGATGCCTAAATATTTCTTATTTTTACTATGTCTCAGGTCCATGTTCAGTCCCTTGCATGCCTTATCTTATTTATTCCACACAACCACCTCTGCAAAGAGGTACCATTATTGGCCATATTTTAGAGTTGATGAAAATAAAACCCAGAGATATTAAATTTTTACTTAAAGTCACACAGCTAGTAGTTGACGGAACTAAGAGATTAAGTTAGGATGTCTGTGTAACCCTCAATACAGATTCTCAGGATTTATGTAAATAGAAAAAAAATGCCAGCTTAAAGGGTTCATGGTTTGGGGGGATAACTACAGGAAGTGTGGGGTTCTAGGAAACAAAATAGCTTTGGGAACATTAATGTCTAGGACTTCCAGAGTCCTCCTTGGTGATGTTCCCTTACCTACTGTTGCCATTTCTTGCACCACCACAGGCTGGCCCATGAATGTCAGAATAGCTCAGCAGTGAAGCAGTTTGCGGCCTCATGGGTAAAAACAGAGGGCTGGGCTGTCAGGAGCCTTTCCTTTTTGGTTTCTCTGAACCCTATCAAGATGTCTGCCCTCACTTCTCTCATGGTGCTGGCAGGGGTCCGGTGAAATGACGTGGACAACCTCCAGGTGAGTCCACACGTTCCCAGACCACGAGTCCTGAGCTCTCCCAGTCAGAACATGTGTTCTCTTCCCAATCTCTCTGTGTTCTCTTCATCTTCTGACTGAGAAGCTCCTTTTCAACCTCCAGGTGAGTCCACACGTTCCCAGACCACGAGTCCTGAGCTCTCCCAGTCAGAACATGTGTTCTCTTCCCAATCTCTCTGTGTTCTCTTCATCTTCTGACTGAGAAGCTCCTTTTTCCACTGAACCAAAATGTCTCCTGCCTTCATAGAAAGTGCTTACTCTGTAGTCATCAAGAACACCAGGGACCTCCACCAATACAGCTTCCCTTAATTTGATGTTATTGGCTCAATGAGTACCAAGTCTTACTATAACCTGTACACTGGACCAGTCATTGGTCTTGAACAAGTTATTCAAGTAACTTTCTTTTCTCCAGACAAAAGAATCCCTACTCCTTAAGCCATTCCTCTTTTCCCTTTACTTTATTCCTTCCCTCCTACCTTCCTCCCTCACCCCCCCCCCCTTTGAGTGAATTGTCCTTTACTGGACTATTCATTTTAAATCACTATTTTATTTACTTAATTATTTTTAAATACTTTCATGAGTTATATACACACATTCACACACAAAGTGCACACCTCTATTCAACCCTAGTCAGTAAATACTTACTCTAAAAAAGAATCATAAAATACAAATAAGCATAAGAAAATAAAAGGTAAAATCCACCTGGAGTTGCTTTCCTCAAGTGAAATACACACGCAATTGTTTAAACTAGATCTGGAGCACAGTGGATCTACCTTTTGGTCTAATAACACAAAGTTGGAGGATTACATTTTTTATGGGATAATGGGCTTGATTTAAAGATGTAGGAAGAGACAGTAAATCATAATGGTATTCTAAGGCAATGAATATGTAGGACCTATTCATTGTAAGAGAAAACAATGGACGATGGAAGGTTAATGTGAGGCAGCTCCCCAGCTTTGAGTAGCAAATGCCTGAAGGGCTTACAGTGGACTTGAGGCCAGGCCTCCTGTTTGCAAACTGCGCAGCCAGTCCCACAACTTCTCTTGGTCTCAGTTTCTCCTTTACAAGATGGGGATAATCATCATTCTTAACTCATAAGACTGGATAAGGGTTCAGGGAGATAATTATCTGGAAGTGACTTAGAAACCACAGAGAGGCAAATGCATATACTTTAAAACTTCTTTTAACAATTCTTAACATCCTGTTCATTGTGCTAATGCTGTTCGATAGGCAGTTAGTGGGAAAATAATCA